TATTGAAGCACGATTTCTCTCTGTCACTAGAATTTTATACCAAATTTGCTTCCAAAATATTTTGATGAAACTTTTTTTGCATAGGGGTGCAAGATGACCTTGCAGGCCAAATTTATGAGAGTAACAGTCGCGGTGAGCGCAGTCTACTGATTTGTGGTTGGAGCGCCCACAGACTGAACATTTGCCTGTGAAGTCTCCTTTTTTCGCCCCTTGAATTTGATGCGGGGCCCTCTGTACTGGTTCAAATTTTGACTTATCCCTGCCTTGCCAAGATGTACCTGGTTTTCAACCATAGAACAACTCCTCTGGTTCGGTTTTCACTTGGGATTTAGTAGGCTTGTTGCTCTCACGCTTATTGTGATCAGCGACGGCTTAGGCGATCCTTTCCATGGACTGGAAAGTGACCTTGGTTTCTGTCGCATTTTCCTGAAATAACCTATTCGTGTAATGCACATCATCAAGATGTCCCTCATTAGGAAATCCAGAGAAATTGTTGCATCGAAGCCACAATTACTTGTCAATTTTTTGACACGTGCGGCCCAATCGCTCACTTTTTCACCAGGCTCTGTTTTCGCGGTATAGAATTTGCTTCTCTCCAAAAGATTGATCGCACTGGAGCATAATACTTCAATAATAACTTATCCAAATCATCGAACTTAACTTCCGGTGATGTTTTGGGTGAGTATAAATTACGCAACAAAACGTAAAACTCTTCAGTTAACGGAATTAGCAGGATGCCTTTCATTAGAAAACTGGCCTGCAAGGTCGAATAGTAAATATGAAAACAAATATGTACCTACACAAATAGAGAATCGAACAGACATCGATAATTGAGTTTTAATATGCGGATGATAACGTCGTGATGATCAATACAGGGAAAAATCTCCAGGCAATTATCAATTCATTCTACCAGGCATACAGGAGAATCGGCCTAGAGGTCAACTTTAACAAGACGTAGATTCTGCACCAACCCGCACCGGATACTAATTCCCAAGCCCCAAATATAACTATAAATGACCATTCTTGCACGTAGAACCCTACCCATAGCTTGGTAGCCATCTGTCAGTGAATGCAACCATTAACGTTGAAATCCAAGCTTGAAGTGTGCTAGCGAGGCGTTCGGACAACTTCTAGAGAGAGTCTTCAACAACACAGGCAGTTGTTATACCAACACTCACATATTGTTGCGATACATTAACTACTTACAGAAGAGACATGAAAAGCCTAGAAAAATACCACCAGCGCTGCCTAAGAAGAATCCTACGGATTAAATAGCAGGACCGACGAACGAACCTTAGTGTTTTAGAGGAGGCCAAAACAACTGGCATAGAAGCCCTCATTGCCTCATCATTAATAAGCACCAATAGGACACACCCGCATGCCCGAAACACGTCTTTCACGACAGATTTTCTACAGTCAACTGAAAGAGGGAAATCGAATTCAGGGAGGTCAACAAAAACGCTACAAGAATGTTCTTGGGAAGAATATGGTAGAGTGCTGCATCGATACCAACAAATGGGAGACGACAGCAAATGATAGGCTCTCATGGCGTCGAGTAGTCCCCGACGAACCACAAACTTCTGAAGAACAGCAACGCAGACACGAGACCGAAAAGAGGGACCGCAGGAAGGAGCGAGAAGACAATGCTGCCAGAGACTGGATGTGCCAAGACTATGGAAGATTGTGCTTCTCCAAAATTAATTTATATAGCCATCAGAAAACACACAATCGACGACAATAAGAACATAATAGAATATAATCATACTCGGTATCGATTGATCGCCTATGATGATGTTTCAATGTACAGGGTGATTCATTGAGAATGGCACTCGGCCGTATCTCAGAAACTATTTATCGTAGGTTAAATTATCATTTAAATGTGGCCAAGAGAAAATGATGGAGATATATTTCAGTTTTCTAAAATGACCGCAAGGGGGCGCAACCCAACTGTCGAAGTAAGAAAATGGTTTAATTTTTGAAATTTCAAATGGAAACGTAGCTTAAAAATCGTAGCAATAGATTTTTGATGAAATTTCACAGAATTTTGGTTTATGACTTTTTATCATAACTTATCGGATAAGATAGGTATGAGCTGTCAAATATCGCAACTCAAGAAAGCGGATAACTTCAAAACCAGTGCAAAGAGATCGCTCTCACAGCATTCATTGACATAGAGGGTGCCTTCGACAATACACCTCACATCAATCAATCGTTAGAGCCTTACAAGAAGGGAATGTTGAAGTCCCAATTGCAAAATGGATAGAGTCGATGCTAAAATATTTGGGCTGAAATAAATGGAGCATCAGCTACCGCTACCACGTTCAGAGGGTGTCCTCAAGTGAGTGTTCTTTCTCCACTACTATGGACACTAATGGTGGACAAAATCCTTACCAGACTAAGAAGTGCAGGATACCAGGTCATGCAGATGACCTGGCCATCATAATCAAGGGCAAACATGAAGGCGTAATAGTAAGCCGAATGCAAAGTGCTCTAAAGATCGTTAAAAATTGGAACAAAGGCGAGGGATTATCCCTAAACCCAAGCAAAACAATTCTTGTCCCGTTCACAAGAAGAAGGAAGCTAAATTTAAAAGCCCCCACCCTTAACGGTATAACACTAACATTTTCCGAAAAAGTGAAATACTTGAGGGACCAAACACTCACTTGGAACAAAAAGTTAGAGAAAACATGCTCTAGAGCTATATCAGCCATCTGGTCATGCAGCAAACTGGTTGGTAAAACATGGGAGCTGAAGCCTAAGATGGTATTCTGGATTTACCAAACTATAATAAAGCCCATGGTCACATACGCCTCATTGGTATGGTGGCCCAAAACTCAGCAAATCACCGCTCAGATCAAGCTTAAAAAGGTACAAAGGCAGATATGCCTAGGAATAACGGGAGCAATGTCGACCTGCCCCATCGCAGCCCTAGAGACGCTGCTTAATATATCTCCACTTCACCTATGTGTGAAAAAGGAGGCAATAATCAGCGCTCACAGGCTATTCCAAACAGACAAGTTCAAGCCTGGTGATCTGAGGGGACATCTGCGCATCTTTGAAATAATAAAACTAGAGAATGCCAGCAAACCAAGCGACCACATGATGGTCAGGATTTCGATTCGTGAATATTTTGGTGATTTTGGATTTACTGGTACTCTACACAAAACTCGCAAGAGGATCTATATTTGCCGCCCTTTGCACGCCGCCCGTTGCCCATCAATACCTGGCAACATTCAAGGATTTAACCCTCAAACAACATCCAAGAGGTAACTTATTAGATATATTAATTTCTTGTATTCCTTCCGCCTTTCAAAAGCTGGAATTTGTCACGTTCGGTTGTGATAATATCTGAATTTTATAGTTTTTTTTTTTTTTTCCTGAGGGTCCATTTCGAGGTCTCTTATACCCTCGATCAAGCTGATCAAGCCCTGCCTTATCAACCAAACTTTGTGACTGGGTCCTAGCCATTGACATTGCAACTTAGAGATCCCATTCGCAGTGATAATAAACAGGCCCCAATCCTGGGAGAATAAAGAATTATCACTAGCAGACAATGCATCTCTGTGGTACACAGATGGATACAAATTAACTGAAGGAGCTGGACTGGGCATTTCCGGCCCTAACTTTAAGCTCTCCAAGGGTTTGGCAAACATCTTACAATATTTCAAGCCGAACTGCTTGCCGTAAACATATGTGCACAAGAGTGTTTCAACCAAAGCCTCAAAAGAAAACACATCTTCATACTATCAGTTAGCCAAGCTGCTTTAAAAGCCTTAAGGGCTTTCAAATGCACCTCAAAACTAGTCTAGGAGTGTAAACAGACCCTAAAAACACTAGCGACACAGAACCAGGTAACGCTGATGTGGCTGCCTGCTCATCAGGCCATAGGAGGAAACGAAGAAGCAGATGTCCTCGCAAAAGAAGGGGCCTCAACACGATACCTAATGGTTTTAGTAATTTTTTCTGTTAACAAACGGTCGTATGAAAAAAATTTAATTCTCCATGAAAGGTACTTATACAAAAAAGCCTCCTGAAAAGGAACAAAAAGCTTTTGCAAATTTATTAGCAAACAACAAAACATCATATTTATAGCAAAAATTAGGTGCGTCACTTTTCATAAAAAAAAAATTTTAAGTTTTAATTATCAGCGGACATTTACCGTTGTTGCAGATCCCATAGGTTCATCCCACAAACTTTAGTTAGCATTTAAAAAATGAAATAAATAACATTTGAAAGATTCACAAAAATATATGCCTAATATGTATATTGGTATGGCTTTTTTACTTACTTGTTTTTCGATTGTCGCATAAACTGTTGAATCTTCCTCGCTGCTTGGTGTTGCCTCCTCTGCGAATAGGTCCTCCTATATATTCGAAGGAAAATGTTTTATAAATAGGTTTATGATATTTGCGGACACACAAACTGTACAACAAATTTGACACATTTAATGTACAAAAAAACACAAATGATTATTGGACGAATTCAGACACCTGTTACTAGGATATCCGAATTAGTGCATTATTAGTTATGAAGCAGGCAGGGGTTAGAAGGGGCTAAGGGTTATTGTTAGTAGGGAATCGCTTGCTTAAAAATCAACAAAAAACATTATTATTTATTCAAGGGTTGGCAATTTGTATAGGAACGTACATCAGGGAAAAATACAGTTTTTTTTTCAAAACTTTACTCGAAAATACACCTTAGATCAAGGTAGATAAAATATTCCCTCGTTTTGAGCTGTTCTAACCAGAACATTACATTATAAAACTACACAAATGCGTTCAACTCGTACCACTTTTTCAATGAATAAATGAAGCTATAAAACATCATTGACAAATCTATAACACATCTAACAATAAACACACAGCTAAAAAACACCACCTAAGATAGCAATCGATTCCACCACCACCAAAGTAACAGACTTTTTAATACATAACTCATAAAACATTAGTTTGAGAAAAATTAGAAAAATGTTATTAAAAAATCTGTTATTAAATTCTTACTTGAGCCCGGAACTGGCTGGAGTTCCTTCTCTACTTCCTCTACCCCCTGCCTCCTTGTAATTTCTGTAATAGTTTTGGATACAAACTGCCGCTTCTTGACTCTTCTTGAAGCGTTTATGTTCACAATATGACCTAAATAAGATAATTACAGAAAAAAACTGCATTGATAAAAGATTGGGAAGGATTAGAATTGACTGACTATTCCAGTGATTAAAGTTTTAAAAAAATAGTGATCAGATAAATTTTTTACCTGAATCCATTTTGAATAACAGTTGCAGCATGAGTCATTTGTTTATAATAAGCATATTGCTTATATCTCCTATAGTAGTTTTGTATAATCACAGCTGCTTGTCTTTCTTTATCCTGTTCTTGTTGCTGTCTTCCTTTGTAGGATCGATATGCTTTTTGTATTATTTTTGCTGCCTCGTATAACTCACGTTGTTCTCGATCTTAAATAAACAATAAATAATTAACCATAGAAATTAGCCATAGGAAAAGTAATGATTACCTGATAAAGTCAAATTAGAGAAGTCTTTTTCGAAAACTGATCCGGAAGCTTGTAAAAATTCGCAAAAATCAGCTGTGGTTGGTGGAGGCGAAGGAGAATCCAAAGTGAAAGAACATGGTGATTGAAGACAGCTTGAAGATGCTGGGCTTAAGCTGGATTGTGGCGTACCAACATCGTAGTATCTAAAAATATTAATAAAATAAACATGCTGTCCTCGAGTAAATAAAATTATTTTTCGTGTATCTTCATCTACTAATTTTTAGCTTGAAGTACTTATTTGAAGGTGATAAAATAATATTTCTTCGTTGACCACCCTCAGTATTTTATTTTCGAGGTCTACAGACAAAAACTCGAATGTTTCGTGGACATCGACACCTACTATAACTCATCATTTGTACCTTCAATTTAGCTGTTCAAACCTCATCACAGAGTCCTCAGAAAACTTGGGGGGGGGGGCTACTTATCTTGATCCCCTTGCCATTGAGTGTGCCTTCGACAACAATACTTTCACAATTCGTTTTGATGGAGAACACCCCTAATTTGGAGGCTGGAGATTCAGTGGTCGCCTTGAATTGTTTCCCTGATGTCTGGCCACCTTCTTTTTGCGTATCGCTTCTTTTTTGAACTAGAACGCCACCGGCATTCAGGCTATGGCATCCTCTCCTGTTATTTCAAGAGCTTGTTGCAGCTCAACATCTATTTCTGTCTCGATTTTGACGTATAGAATAAACAGTAACAGATTACTTAACGTTGATGTTGAAATAACAGAAAATAAAACATCATAGGTTTGATTGTCTACTGGTGTGTCTTTCTCTGCCGCAGATGTAGCATCTTATCAATTTTCTGAATCTTGAATTGCTATTTCCGATCGACTCTAATTTTAGAAAAATACTTGCTTTGTGTTCGGGCTTTCCTCAGATAAATTTACTTCCGTAATCTTGCTTCTATTTGAAAAGGCATTTCTGGCAGCTTCAAAGTTCAATGTGCTGCAGTTCATGTACAACGGTTTCTGCTAGGGTATAGTCAACCCGACTCTCCTTTTCAGCTGGCTCTGATGAACTTGACTAAGATACCTGTTTTCGTACCTTAGCCTGCAACAACTGAAAAATTACATTGTTTTATCTCACGAATATTCTGAATAGTTTCATCCATTTGCACTAGCACCGACCTCAAACTGTGGTTTATACATAGAACAGGATGTTTCGCCGTCAAAAGTTGGTGGTTTGAGTCGATCACGACGAACGAAAGGAGTCATCGATTAATCAATTTAGCTGCCGCTTCCGTCTCACTGCTAATTTATTTGTCGAGCTTTCCGCCTTTGACCGATCTTATTTGGCCTTGGATCGTTTATATTTCGCTCGTGACTTCTTGTCGAATGTTCTGGAACATTTCGGCGATCCTGGTAATTGTTTTCTGCCCGTGTTCCCGTTCTTTTCTGTTCATCTACTTATATTGGTCCTGCACAATTTTCATTCTTGCTTTTTTTGACGTCTGTCTTCTTTCGTTTTTTTTTTCTGTATTGCTCTTCTATTTTTCTTTCAGTCATCTGTCTTCTTGTTCTTGTAAAAAATTCTGAAGTCGACCTGTTCTTTCTGCCGTTTCTCTTCTTCTTTCCCTTCTCCTTTCTCCCATTGCTCTTCAGAAATCTTCAATAAATTGAGCACCTGGCTCAATTGATCAACAATTTGGGCGGTCTGTAGAAGGTCTGTAGTCTCTTCACTCACTGACACCAAATAATACGCATGGGTATTGGCAAAAAGTGAGACTAATGCTTTGTATCACTCAAATTAAACTGAACTGTATCACTATAACTGATTATCGACTTCTGTTCAACTAACTGTCCTGTCCAATTCACAGCTGACTCACTCTGACGTATTCTACTTTTAGACCACTTCGATTCTTCCGAAGCCTTTAAGGGTTCGCCCAATTTAGTAGGTATCCAAATTCAATCAGAATTAATTGACTATTGGAGCTTTGTCATGGATTATGGGAAGATTGTGAAGCCTTACATAGGCTAACTGAGAAGAATTGAATACCAGAATGTAAGCCATGGACCTGAAAACAGATTGACCAGTGCTCCAGTTTTAGTATAATCTATGGATAAAGGACTGTTTGTGTTAGTGGCAAAGTGGAATAGGAGCTGTTCTCTACCAAAATTAAAAATTCCTATCTCTGTTCGCTTCTGGGAGGTCATCTCTGGTGACACTACACGCGAAGTTGCCAGATTAGCACATTTTACCAAACTTCTAGAGAATGTTTAATTTGGCAACCTCGCATCTCGTACGATTATAACACTACTATGTATTACTTTATTTTAGGTTATAGAAATTATTTACCTGTAGTTGTGATCGGAAAATTCGAAATTGAACTCAGAAGATTCAAAACTGGACGAAGAAGGTTCAAGAAGTGGTTCCATGTAAACATCGTATAAAGTTTCTGATGGTTGAAGGGTATCGGGAGGTCCGGGACTATTTTCCATGAGAAGATCCTCAGATTCATTCTAAATAGGTTTGTACAACGTTTGAATTGATTACCGATTAATTCAAATTAAATTTACCTTAATTCGATCTGGCATCGCAGCAATTATTTTTTCAGCTAATGTGAGAACTCTGGCATCTTGTTCCCCTAAAAATTATAATGGAGAATACCACAAAGGGCCGCTTTTTAACACTACACTGTTTTTCTAATTCTGTACACATTCAAGTGCCAAAACTGAAAAGGAAGTTCTAAGGAGGAATCTAATTATTATCAAAATGTTCAAGATATGTGAGCAAGACGGAAAGGAAGTTTCACCCCCAGGTATTAAATTCATGCAAATATTGCCAAACCCCTCATACAAATATAGAAATAAAAATAAACTAGCACAATACAACGTGTTTTATATGTTTACGGCTGCGCTAAAGCTGGCTAGAAGCGCACAATAAATTAGAACTAAAATATATTTTCTTATACTTTTCAATAATTGTGTAGCCGTAAAGAGTGGGTACTAGCAAATCCAGTACCGAGCATATTACTTGAACCAATGGCAGACATGGATTAAGTGCGCATTTACTGTACTATATGCTAAATTCAGTAGGTACCAAGATCTAAACCTTGTATTTTTCTAAGAAGGTTTAAAAATTTATTTCTAGTCCAAATGGAATTGGTTCTATTTTCAAATGTTCAAAGATTTCCTTGCTAATGTTTAGGCACCAGATTTTCGAAATATCTGGAAAAAAATTATTCGTTGCCATGATAAGGCGACGGCCTAATGTATTTTATTTTTATTTCAAGTCATAATAGATTCAGCAAAGAAAGAGTCAACAAGGACAGGTGCGCATGCAATCTTGAATGAAATTACGAATTGAATAAGAACGTTTTTTGGTCATCCAGGAACCTGAAAGTTTTAAAGTCAAAAACCAATTATCTTATGAGAAAGTTAAAAAGTCCTCAAACTTTCATGCTAATAACATTTCGATAAAGTAGCCAAAAATACCAGATATTAGTGGCGGTTATGATCCGAATAATTAATTTTGATGTCAGCGAATAATGGGTATCTGACGAAACTGTATCCTTTCTATACTAAAAATAAATTGTTAAACCCAGAAAAATGCCCCATGCCCTCAAAAGAGTGTAGGGACAACCGTTTCAGCAAGGGACTACTGATGAATTGTGAAATTTCGAGAAATTCAACATGGACCAAATTCAAATTGCACATATTTGCGAGTTTTATTTATTGAATGGATATGCCAGAATGGTTTTAAATACCACCAAGAGGACCAATAATATTTTTTTAGTGAAATATCGTCTAGGGCTAGGGAATTCTTGCAAGAATGAGCTCTGATGCGAACACTCTTGAAAATGGGTAGGTTTTTCATGAATAGCAGGATAAGAATTTTCCAACCGGATAATTATTGGAGTTATTTCATTTGCCAAAAAGGTTAGATTTTTAGCTACCTATATTGAAAGATTAAAAAATCGAGTTGCAACCAACCCCTGTCCGACTTGTGCGACCTACCATCTTTTAAGGGAAAAAAGTGACACTTTCGTCAAAAACTCGTTTCCTATTGGTCCAGCAGGTAAGTTTTCTCTGCTGGAAAGTATTCCGAAGTTAATGATATTTTGGTATCTCATTTGTGGGGAGCCTGTGAAGTAAAATCTGAGTTTTCGACTTCGAGGACCCTGTGCTAGCTCGAGGGGAGTCGAAAAACCACGAAATTATCGGACTTTTTCAGTTTTTGCTTATATTTTCTAAACCATGCGTTTTAGCGGGATACACCTTATTTATAAAGTTGAAGAACATTAGATTTCCTTCAAATTTCACTAGTCAACGTATTATATAACGCAATAGTAACCGAGATACAGTGGTTCAAAGATACAGAAAGATTCTCAACTTGTCAAAAATTTCTTCCGGCCGACCACAATTCAAACCAAGCATGGGATAAACATATTTTATCCTCATTTCTTTCACGTGCACCCACAGGCGATATATTATGTCTACTGTGCACCTGAATTATTTTCCGCGTTAACCGCAACTAAAACCTCAAAATTATCGGACTTTTCCAGTTGTTTGCTTAAAACTTCTCAACAAAGCTGAAGAACTTGAAATTTCCTTTGAATTTCACTGGCCAAAAGTATTCGAGCCAATTGTTACTGAGATATAGTGGTTCAAAAATTCAAGTAATTTCTTAAATTATCAAAAATAGCATAGAAATGCAGTTTTTTGCCCTATACTTTTGGAAAACACAAAATTTTACTATGAGTGCAGCAGAAATCGTCGATATCGTTCTACTGCTTTGGTGCTTTGGTAACTTATGCCAACAGGATACCCATCAAAAACCACTCTAGCATTGCTTCCGCGAAGTGTCTTTGCACATAGTCGACGTGATTCTTGTTGATATTATCATAGACTTAAATACTACGAATAGACGTCCAGTGGAAATAGCAGCACAAAAAATGCCTCAATAATTCATAAGATGGCGCCACTCGTATTAAAAATTTAGAGAAAACTGTGCTAGCACCCTTGTGTACGAGCAGCGTGTCATTGTTTCCAGGACAACCGCATTCCGCCTTTTTTCTGATGTTTCGGTGTTGTCAAGTTTATACGGGCAAAAAAGTAGACAAGAATTCTCTTTGCTATTTGCGACTTTCGAAGAAATAAATTATTGCTTGGATTTCAAAGAACTAATTTTCAAAATTTCTGGAAACAAATGTTGCTACTTTAGTTGTGGCAAAAGTCAGAGAAACGACGGGGTGAGATTATTTCCTGACCCTGACCCTGATGACGTTTGCCATCATCATAGAAAATTTTTGTTAGAATCTCTGGTTCTAACAAATTTATTAAAATTTTCAAAATGGGAAGCTACAAAATTGAAAACGTTAGAAGCCGAGAAAAAGAAGAAAAAAAAATCCATTTCAGCTTTCACTAGAAATAGAAAACTTAACAATTTACAAAATAAGTGAAATTTATTTATATTAAAAAAAAATCTTAACATTAACAATTTATTAATTTGCGTATAATATTTACTATTTAGTATAAGATGCAGTATTAAAAAAAATTGGTGTCTTAATGTATGGTTTGGCCTATTTAATGATTTTGGACTAGTTATTTTAGAACTATTGGCAACAGCGTAACGCGCGAATTTGAATTATGACAGAAATGCGCGCCATCTCGTATCCAGCATCTAAAATACCAGAGCCTGAATTGAATTTGGAGGCTCGCTTTCGATAGCGAGCCTCCAAATAGCGTCGCAGATTTTTACCATTTGACTGGACGTCTATTCGTAGTATTTAAGTCTATGATATTATATACCTATACAAACATATTAATAAGTTGGCAACATTGTCCACTTCATCTATTAGGCGTATTTTAGCGAGAGTTTTAACCCAGTAGTATGTTGTTTTTACTTGGGATACTACATTTTAGCGATCATGGCTAACATACTATGACGTCACAACATAAAACTCGGCTGTAAATATGTAACCATCCTACGAGGAATACTTACTGGTTGTAGTATGTCAGTGCATATTTTTCTAATACACGAAAATGGGCATATGGGCAAAACAGGTGACTACGATTACCGACACAGTTCTTTCCATTAAATAGAGGATTGTTTTTCCCCATTTTGCCATGGTTTTCTGTGATTTTAATAATTTTATTAGAGGTTTTTTGCAAAAAAAAAATCTTGACTTGTGCACAAAAGTGTAATTTTATTTATTTTTTTTGGCATGGGGTCCCCAGTCCCCATAAAATTCAAAAACACCACAATCAATCGAAAATATTCGAAAATCTTCACTGGAGAAATAATATTCAAACTCGAAAACATAAAATTTTGTAAAATTCAACAAACCCAAATAAACAACGATCGAACTCTCTTTTAGACCCTTTGTCAAATACACTCCACCTGTTATTTGAGTAACTATGACGTCATGAATCGTAGTATGTTGTTTACTGGTCGCTAAAATACGTCTATTCTTTCTATATTTTGAAACTCATTGTTAGACATAATAAAAGTCAGTATTTTGCGAGTTATCAAATCGACCTCACGTGTTTTATTTTCACCCCTAAAAGTTGAACAGGTTATGTGGCCCAGGCCCAGAGCGTCCTATTAATAGTATTGCGAAAATAAAATAGAAGTACGTTGAAGTTTTGGTAGTTGTTCCGCGGCTGTTGGCTCCTGAAATTGAACTGTACCAGTAGTGTAAAGTGCGGCGCGGCTATAAAATGGCGGTCAATACTATCTTTCTAGTGTTCCGAAATTCCAAGGCCGTGAAAATTACGAGGAATGGTCGTTTGCGATGGAAAATTTCCTCGTGCTTGAAGGTCTAAATAAGTGTCTTGACGGGACAGAAACGGATAATCTGCAGATAGCAAAGGCCAAGGCAAAGATTGTATTATGTCTCGACTCTAGCTTGTACGTGCACCTACAGCTAAGGAAATTTGGGATAAATTGAAAAATTTGTATGAAAACATTAAGGTTGGAAAGTTGTGCATCAATGTAAGAATCAGCGTTGCCAACTTAGCGGATTTCCCGTCATATCTAACGGATTTTGGTGAAGGGAAACGGAAAAAATAAAGTTTCAACGGGTGACGGATTTTTTAACAGGAACAAAGTTTCCGTTTAAAAATTCTAAATTATGTTCTATAAATGTAATAAACTGGTTGTTAAGCGATTCAAGCTACTTTTGGTCTGTAAACAAGCCTTTACGGAAACGTTGATCCGACTAGCCCGATCACCAGCTGATGTTATCTGTCTTTTTTCAACGGTTTTATTGGAAAAGGATAAAATACAAACAGCCGATGATCGGGTGAATCGGATCAGTGTTTCTAAAAACGTCTAAAATCAAATGGCATTGTCGTTAACTCTGCATAATTTGGTTGGCCCTACTGAATATATTTTATTTGTTTAGCGCATTTCGCATTTTTCATTCTGACGGATTTTATTGACGGAAAAGAAAATGGTTTAACGGATTTTTGAGACTTCTCAAAAGCTTGATAGGACCGGCCTCAAATTAGATTCAACCTTGGTTGGCAGTTTGCTTTTGGCAGGTTTGCCAGAACGGTACACCTTAATGGTGATGACGCTGGAGCATAGTGGGATTTCTATTACCACCGACTCGATTGAAACTAATTTACTTGATATACA